TATTATCTGTTATTGATTTTATGGGCTATTGTCATTTGAGATTTCTCTCACACACACAAATGACTGCAATCGGATTTTTTATGAAGTTGTAGTCATTTCTAAGTGTCTTTAAAATTGATGCAGTTGATTCTGGCTATTAACTAGGAGCTCAGACAGACTATTAATCACATAAACTCTCCATGTGGGTTGGGATTCTCACAATATAATGTCTGTCTTCTAGAGAAAATATCCAAAAATACAATAACACCAATGAGGAAGATGTAAGATTTCTTAAAATCTAGTCTTGGATATCCTGAAACATTACATCTATTGCATTCTTTTTTCCAAAGTCTCTAAGGCAGCCCAGATAAGAGGGGGTACAATTAAATTGGACTTTTTAAAGCAATAGCAAGATCATATTGAAGAAAGTACATGGGATGCAAAATATTGTTTTGGCCATTTTGGGAAAATAAAACCTGCAACAACATACGCTTTGGCCACAATAATGATCTCCTCCTACATGCAAAATGCATTTACCTTTTCCCTAAGATTTCCAGGTCTCGTTCATAGTATGGGAATAGTTCAAAGTCCAGGATTTCAACCTTTAAATCTGGACAATGTGTGAATAGGACTCCTTGAGTTCAGTTCCTTGCATATAGATCCTTGAGTGCAGTTCCTTTCAAGACCTGTGGAGTAAAGAAATGGGAAACAAATCAACTGCTCACACAGGCAACATACCATGGTGATATGCAGATAAGATAACTGCAATATTCACTAACATATATATATATATATTTCCATATTATATATGTATGTATTTCCAAACAATGAAATTGATGAAGTAGAATGGTTAAGAGTTTTGGAGAAAAATCCAGAGTACTGAAAATCAAACTGTTTCAGTTATTTGTAACTGCATTACAAACTACTCCCCCAAGGTAGTGATTTAAAACAATTTATTATTATCTGTTATTGATTTTATGGGCTATTGTCATTTGAGATTTCTCTCACACACACAAATGACTGCAATCGGATTTTTTATGAAGTTGTAGTCATTTCTAAGTGTCTTTAAAATTGATGCAGTTGATTCTGGCTATTAACTAGGAGCTCAGACAGACTATTAATCACATAAACTCTCCATGTGGGTTGGGATTCTCACAATATAATGTCTGTCTTCTAGAGAAAATATCCAAAAATACAATAACACCAATGAGGAAGATGTAAGATTTCTTAAAATCTAGTCTTGGATATCCTGAAACATTACATCTATTGCATTCTTTTTTCCAAAGTCTCTAAGGCAGCCCAGATAAGAGGGGGTACAATTAAATTGGACTTTTTAAAGCAATAGCAAGATCATATTGAAGAAAGTACATGGGATGCAAAATATTGTTTTGGCCATTTTGGGAAAATAAAACCTGCAACAACATACCCTTTGGCCACAATAATGATCTCCTCCTACATGCAAAATGCATTTACCTTTTCCCTAAGATTTCCAGGTCTCGTTCATAGTATGGGAATAGTTCAAAGTCCAGGATTTCAACCTTTAAATCTGGACAATGTGTGAATAGGACTCCTTGAGTTCAGTTCCTTGCATATAGATCCTTGAGTGCAGTTCCTTTCAAGACCTGTGGAGTAAAGAAATGGGAAACAAATCAACTGCTCACACAGGCAACATACCATGGTGATATGCAGATAAGATAACTGCAATATTCACTTGTAAAATATTGAGAGAATCATCGTACAGTCAGTGTAGTTTTCTAAAAGCTTTTTTTTTAAGTGTAGTTTTTTTTTTTAAGTGTAGTTTTTTTTTTTTTTAAGTGTAGTTTTTTAAAATTTGTTCAAAGGTAAGTATCATCAGTTTCTTAATAAGAACCTAGTTCTACTCCCTGGGAATGATTCTCCATGGCTCTTGGCTAAGTTAAATGTTAGTCACTCAGTCGTGTCTGACTCTTTGCAACCCCATGGACTATAGCCCTCCCAGGCTCCTCTGTCCTTGGAATTCTCCAGGCAAGAATACTGGAGTAGGTTGCCGTTCCGTTCTCCAGGGAATCTTCCTGAACCAGGAATCGAATCTGGGTTTTGCACATTACGGGCAGATTCTTTACTGTCTGAACCACCAGGGAAGCCCTTTAGGCAATTAGCTCTATATTCCATGTCACCTTTGCGCTTCAATGAGAAACAAAGTGTGTTTACATCTGAATACATTTTTCAGTCTATTTCCAGAATAATAAAGTTGAAAGCCCCAAATCCCCTTCTAATTTTGCACTCTGTCCCTTTTAGTCCAAAATGACGGTGCTTATATCTATTTTGTCTTAAAAACTGTGATTTTCTCTGACTCTTTGAGTGTTTACTGCACTAGACAAAAGTCATACCCACAAATATCTTCCAGATTGCCACCTGTCTGATTTTGCATGAGCTATGATTCTCTATGATTGCTGAGCTATGATTCTTCTTAAGAAGATTAAGATTCTTAGAAGCTTCTTTATCTAATTAAAAAGATTTATTAGGCATATCCCTAAATATTTCTGTATTCTTTTTTTTTTCTTCTTTTTCTGTATTCTTAACAAAGGATCTTACAGACTCATCCTAAAGATGACATTATACCCTGAGAGCATTGTTTCTTTTGCGAGTCCTTTGTCATTTGGAAAGACTATTGTGTGGATAATTAAAAATAAATAAATAAAACTTTGATTCCAGACAGTCATGACTCCTTTGCATTTACTCTAGCAATGATTAAACACTGAATGTTTTCATTTTAGCTTATATCTCTTTATCTGTACTTTATCATAAGTGACATAAAAATAATATTGATATTTTTGGTATTCTGCCTCAAAATCTCCTCAGCCAAATATATCAGTTAATTAGTTATATTTTCTGTTTTTCACAGTATTGTAGGTGTGACATTACCAAACTTTCTAAAACTACATAGTCCTCATTTGTCTCCAGCCTGTAGTAATAATTTTCTCACTGTTTTTCAAGACTTCATTAACAGCTTCCTCAAGGCCCTTTCAGCTTCTGCCTGTTGCCCTATTCCACAGCGAATGCAGCATGTTTTATGCTTTTTTTGTATACGAACACCATACTTCCTATTACTAAATTCTACATTATTGATCTATTGTTTCATGACTAACCATTCCCATATTTATTGGCCTAAAATAGCAAATTATTACTTCTCATGGTTCTATGGCTTGGCTTTGACTAGATGACAAGTTCTGTCTTTTAGTCTTTCATGCATTACAGAGAGATGTCAGTTGAGATCCTATAGATACTTGAAGTCTCAGCTGGACAGGAAGTTCTAAATGGCTTACCAACATAACTGGCTGTTGTTGCTGACTGTTAACTGGAGTCTCCACTGGGGCCACCCTCCAGAATATTTAGACATGGCTTCCCCATGTTGCTGGGGATGCTCATTGCACAGTAGTTGAATTCTAGGAGGGAGCACACCAAGGTCAAGTATTTCAAGAGACTCAGCTAGAAACGGCAAAAAAAAAAAAAAATTATGGTTTAATTTCAGAAGCTTCAAATATTACTAACACTGAATTCTGTTTGTAAAAGAATCCGTATGTCTAGCACAGGTTCAAAAGAAGTAGAATTATATTCCACTTGTTAACATGGGAATGGCAAGTTCGCACTACAGAAAAGCATAGAAGATGGAATATATTATTATTGTGGCTATTTTTGGAAAATGCAATCAACCACACCAAGTTATTAAAGGATCATTTCTATGGGCATTAAAATAATCAACAATGTTGATAAAAAGTTTTTGTGCTCAAAGTTCTTTAAAAACTGCAAAAAGTATAGATAATTGATAGTATATTTTTAGAACATGAAATCTCAAGTTGTGGAGTTTTGAGGTGGATAAATAATATGAGGAAAGAAGTAAAGTAGCTATGCTGAAAAAAAAAAAAAAAAAAAAAAATTATGGTTTAATTTCATAAGCTTCAAATATTACTAACATTGAATTCTGTTTGTAAAAGAATCCATATGTCTAGCACAGGTTCAAAAGAAGTAGAATTATATTCCACTTGTTAACATGGGAATGGCAAGTTCGCACTACAGAAAAGTATAGAAGATGGAATATATTATTATTGTGGCTATTTTTGGAAAATGCAATCAACCACACCAAGTTATTAAAGGATCATTTCTATGGACATTAAAATAATCAACAATATTGATAAAAAGTTTTTGTGCTCAAAGTTCTTTAAAAACTGCAAAAAGTATATATAATTGATAGTATATTTTTAGAACATGAAATCTCAAGTTGTGGAGTTTTGAGGTGGATAAATAATATGAGGAAAGAAGTAAAGTAGCTATGCTGAACATAAAGAACTATGCTACTTCCAGGCCCAGGAAGTTACTACAAGAACCAAGTCTACAGGTTTTCAAAGGATCAGGACTTTTGATCTGGAAGGATCCAAGATTTCTTAGGTATCAGAATCATACAGAGAAATGTAAAGAACCCAAAAGCCCAGTGAATTACAATCTAGCCTGGACCTCTACATTTTTGCCAAGTTCCCTAGGTGATTGTGGCACCAACCAATGTTTGAGAACCATGTTTAGATTAATAATTTTCCTGAATGATTCTTAAAAGAGGGTAATCACTTGCTAGCTTCTATAACTCTCAACTGGAAAGTGTCCTACAAAGATATTCCAAATTGGTAGACCTTTGCTTATCTCTTGCAACCTATTTATAATACTAATAGTCTATCCAAATTATACATGATCCTCATCTTATGCCATGAGACTCAGAAATCTACTTCATAATGGTATAGAAACTTTTTGTTGATCTATCTTTTCAGGTACACATCTTCACATCTTGTCTCCCTTCTTGATATCTACTTTCTTATCCTGTCTCATTGCTTCTTATAATGAAGTGAAGTTGAAGTTCCACTTCCAACTCACAGTGGAATTCTAGGATTTCATAAAAATTTAAGTTGTCATTGTATTCTATCTTTGAAAAAAATGAAATGTGTTCCAAAATGGATATGGTTACCTGTTTTCTTTCCCAAACTCTCAGTCTCATGTCACTGGGTCCCTTTAAGGAAGAAGAGTAGGATTATCTTTTCCCGAATCTGCTTGGTTTTCACCCCATAGATGATTGGATTGAGGGCAGGAGGGATGGCCACATAGAGGTTGGCAATCAATATGTGGAAGGAGTGAGGAATATTGTGACCAAAACGGTGAGTGAGGACAGAGAATATGGCTGGTATGTAGAATATAAGAATGACACAAATATGGGAGCCACATGTGTTGAGGGCTTTCTGGCGGGCATCCTGGGATGGAAGGTTAAAGACAGCACGAAGGATGAGAGTGTAGGAGACGCCAATGAGGATCAAGTCTGATGTAACAGTCATTACCGGCACAGCAAAACCATACCAGATGTTGATGGAGATGTCTGCACAGGCGAGTTGGGCAATGCCTATGTGCTCACAGTATGTGTGTGGAATGATGAGTGTTTGGCAGAAAGGCAGTCGCTTTAATAGGAACACGCATGGGAAGATGATACAGAAGCTCCTGCTGATGATACCCATTACAATCTTAGTAATAACCTGACGGGTGAGAATAGTGTTATATCTTAGGGGGAAGCAAATAGCAATATAGCGATCAAATGCCATGGCCAGCAGGGTGGCGGAATCCATGGCAAAGCTATAGTGGAGAAAAAACATCTGAGTAAGACATCCAGGAAAGGTGATTTCCTGAGGACCCAGCCAGAAGATGCTGAATGTTTTGGGTACACATGTGTTAGACAGGATGAGATCTGTAGCCGCCAGCATGGAGAGGAAAAAGAACATGGGCTCATGAAGGCTGCGCTCCATGGAAATAAGATAGAGAAGGACACTGTTGCCTGCAAGAGCCACAAGGTAAATGATAAAGAAGGGAATCCCGATCCAGATGTGGAAGTGCTCCAGTCCTGGGATTCCCAGCAGGATGAATGAGCCTGGATTCACGAAGCTGGTCGAGTTGAACGTAGCCATCTTGATCTTGGATAGGTTGTGTCTCACAGACTGAAAATGAAAAGTTCATTACTGATTGTTAACATTATCTACAGACATGCATCTCTGAGCCTTCTCCAGTATCATCTGCTCACTTTCAGTTCTAGAAAGTAATGAACTATCCTTCTCTTCTCTTTACTCATAAGTATTTGCAAAGCTTTTAGTCACAATTTTAAGTCATAATAGAAATAATTTTTCCCAGAGATAAAAGTCATGTAACTCTAAAGCAAGTCCTGCTGGCTAGCAGCAACTCAGGAAACTTTCTAAGAAAGTATGTGCAAAAATAATATTAGGCAAAGAAACATCACTGGTCAGGGATTTGGAAAAAAGTTCAATGAAAAGCCCAAAGGTCACAAGGGGCTGAAAAGATAGGCTTAATGTATGAAACTAAAGCAGACCGTGCAGTCTCTTCTTTATTCTTCTCTACACCCTACAAATGTAAAGAGAAGACAAAGAAAATTCTTCTATAAAATCTAAGATTGAAGTCATTTACTCTGCCACTTCAGATATGCCCAGGTTGGAAAAGTTTTGAATATCAGACATTCTCCAGTAACTTACTATGTCAGATTTGTCTTGGTGAAAAAATAGAACCCTCTCCTTAATCCTGGAAAACTACCCCAGCAAAGGGAGCCCAGTATCCTGGCAGCACTATGCAATGATCTTCTTGACCCTATCTAATTAGTAAAATTACTCAGTCTTATGAAACCTCATCAAAACAGTTGAGCCTTTCTTCCAAGCTGTCTTATTTTGTGACATGACACAGAAATTTTTTACTCCAACTTCAGTATTGACTCGTTTTTCTACTTGTTCTTTTCTAACATATTATTTTATTTATTTACTAATATTTACTGATGGCTGTGCTGGGTCTTCATTTATGCATGGGCTTTTTGTGTGGCCAGTGATGTGCATCAGCTTCTCATTGCGATGACTTCTCTTCCCACGGAGCATGGGCTCTAAGGTGCCTGGGCTTTAGTAGTTGTAGCACACGGGCTTAGCTGCTCTGTAGCATGTTAAATCTTCCCAAATCTGCACTGGCAAGTGGATTCTTTACTGTTGAGCCACCAGGGAATGAGCCACCCTTTTCTACCTGTTCTTGGGTGTTGGTATTTTTCAGTGATCTGTCCATGTCTGTTGCTTTCTAAGTTGACAAACTCCACATGGGTAATATCTCCAAACACCATGACTTTAACTGTGACTCCTATGTTGAAGACTGTTAAGTTTATAATTTTGAAAATATTACTCTCCTCAGTCTTGGAATTAGTTAGCTTATACTTTTTGCAACTAGTTATCCTATGCCTGCCATCTTCACTGAAAAACCTCACAAGTGCACCCAACTCAGTATGTTCCAAACTACCATATTTCTCTTCTCATTGCCCCAGATCTGCTTCTCCTATACTGTTTTTCAACTCAGCAAATGATAGTGTAACACCATCAATTTCTATATCTAAAAGCCTTGAAATTATCTTAGTCAAACTCCCTCATATCAGTCACCCTATTCATCTTTCAAACAATTATCACATTGCAGGCATTGACTCCCTAAGTATCTCTATATTACATCCACTTTTTACTACCCATTCATTGACTGCTCTGTCTTACATACCATCATTTCCCACCAAGACTTCTGCATAGGCTGACTCAAACATACTTAATATGCCTTGAAAAATTAAAGGCAGATGTGATGCAGGGTCTATCCTAACCAGTGAGAAAAGGGGAGTGGAAAATTTGTAATTCCAGAGAGAAATGGTAAGGCTGGCAGTCAGGAGCTGTGCCAGCATCATCTGTGCTCAAATCTAGGTAGGATCCATTTCATTAAAAATAGATTCAGTTAAAAAAAAAAAAAAAAGATTCATTTACAGGAGAGACCAATGCACAGAGAAGCAAAATTACACAGGAGGCAATGAATCACATAACAAAAATAGCATAATTAAAGATTAATCCAAATGAAAAATACAAAATTCTGTTAGTATATATATTTATGTAGCACAGAGACCTCTACTTAATACTCTGTAATGGCCTATATGGGAAAAGAATCTTCTAAAAAAGTAGTAGATATATGTGTAACAATAATGTATTATGAGAGATGGAATGTAAACGCTGATATGAGAATCCATCTGTCTTCTATAAAGCCAGATATCAAAGAGATTTACAAAATACAAACATTGTCTTAAAAAAATTATTTAAGGTATTTTTAGAAATCACTACAGTAAAGTCCTTTGACTCAATGGGAAAATTGACAATAATTATAAACAGAGTCATGTAAAAATAAATTCTAATCTTTAACACATATGTAGAATATTCTCAGTCTCATAAATAATTAAACTCAATATAAAACAAGGATATGGTATATTGTAGGATTAGAAAAATCATAAACACTGATTATATCATTGATGTCCAACTCTGTTAAGGGTCTGAGGAAAAAAGAACTATTATAACTATTTTACAAGAGTTTACTGTGTAACATTCTTAGAAACTAACTTGGCAATATGTATCAAAACATAAAATGCACATATTCATTGCCCAGAGTAGTTCCAACTAAGGAATATTTCCGAAGATTCAGTTAAACAAATAAAACAAATGGCATGAAGATATTCACAGTAGCAACATATAATCTAAAATTTGAGTGAAATTATAATATAAAAAATATGAAAATTGAAAAGGTGACACCAGTTTAGCTTTTAATATGGAAATGACTTTAACATTTACAATCTCTTCATATAATGGAAGAATATAGAGTTGAGAAAAAGAATAAAGTAAAGCTATGCTTATGTAAATTAAAAGATGCCAAAATATATTTATATGGAAAAAGATTGCAGTATAATGTTATTACGTTAATGTTGATTTGGTATTCATGGTATTTGCATTCAAAAAGCTGGAGGAATATACATCAACTGTTCTAAGCAATATTTCTCAAATTTAGGGTAAGGTGAGGAAAGAAATTTGAACTTTTAACTTCATATGTATATAATTTGTTTTATAAAATGAGCTTTTGTAAAAATAAAATATTAAGAAATGATTACTGCCAATTATTTTAACAAAATCCACTTAAGATTTATATTTAAAGGGTAATATGATTTCAGAATATATTTAAAATTAATAAAATGCATGTTAGGAACATATTTTAAATGATAATAAATCAGTCCTATATTATTTATGATTTAAAGATAAAATGGCATGATTAACTTCAATATACTTATTAAATATATAAATGTAAAAAATGAATTAAATAAACATAAATAAATTACATAGTATAATGATGGCTCAAGAATAAATATGCCTAAAGAGCAAAATATATAGCTGCCAAATGTCATAACTTGAAAACTATTTGCAATTGGAGGAATCAAAAATCAGTGAGAAAATACGGAATTATTCCACAGATAGTTTGACAATTATTTGTTGTCTATTGTAGAAAAAATGTAGCTAGATTCACAACTCACACTAGCTATAACAAAATTCCTCCTGAATCAAAAAAATACATGTAACTCAAGTCACAATAAAACCTCTAAATTTTATTTAAAAGGTATGTATCTAAAATCCATATAAGAATGCTTTTAAGAAATACATTTAGGTAAATAAGTAAGCAACAAACATTAAATAAAGAAGGAAGACAAAATGTAGATATAGCACTAACAATCTCACTAAATGGCAAAACTTCAAAAAGTATTAGATGCTGCTTTAATATTCAAAATTCTAGTCTTAAACTCACCTTCAAGTGAATGAGAAATACTATAATATGAATAGTATAAATATCTTGCTCCATAACTTGATATTATGTCAAAAATTCGAAACTAATTATTTTAAAAAGAGAAAAATATGGTAAATGTGATCAATTGAATTAAGTCTCTAAAAGCATAAGAGAAAGACATAAGCATGATGATTAGAATCAAGATAAAAATAATCTCTAATGATAAAAATATATATTTTCTAACAATAGTGATACTTTAAAAATTAATTCTAACTTTTGAAAAGTAAAGTAAAATTGATGATACTTAGGAAAATACAAATTAACAAATATGATTCATGGATAATAATAAAACCTAAATAAACAATTTACATGAAATAAAAAGGAAAGGTTGGCAGAGATCTATCTCCCTCCAAATAGTGCCCAGACTAAATTTAATCAACAGTATCATTTGATATTACTTTTAAAGACTAGATATTTTATGTAGGATACAATTGATTTCTGAGCATATAGGAAGCCAGAAAATCTAGGGGTTTTTTGAAGACCATTATAACTATTTTATAAACTTTGAAACAGTGAAATTTTTTTAAGTCCTAATGTGTGCCCAGATGGAAAAAGAACATATTGTGTAAAAAGCACTAGAGTGTGATAATTGCCGCAGTGAGGTGGACAATGGAGACCTAAACGAATGTCACAGAGGAGATTAATAAACATCTTTGGGAGACAGAAGACAGAATTGGTAAAATGTGTCAACTGATGGAGGACTGAAGGAAAGTGGAGTAGTAAAAGAAACATCAGCGTTCTTTCATCTCTTTAACCTTGAAGCAGTTTGTCTTGTTGTGTTTTCTTGTCTTCTACTTTGTCTCCTGGCATTACAGAGTGGTTGGAAAGATTATTCAAAATATTCCCATTTGTTTTCTATCTAATAAGGTAAGCAGATGGATATTAATTTGAAGACACACATTAACTGGTTGTGTGACTAGTATCCACATCTATACATCTCTTGCTGGCATACCTCATAACAAGAATCTATATACAGCTCTTGATATTCTACCTAATCAGGCCCCGTGGCTTTACTGATACCACTGTCATCGTGTAGTTCCTCAATGCCACTTTAAAGACACTCAGTGATTTCTTCTGTTCAGTCTGAAACAAGTATTATATTAACGAACACCAGATTCCAAGTGGCAAAGGCCATAAAGTGTCTCCCATGTCAAAAGGAGATAACTTTGGTCTACCAAATATGTCACCCTCAATATGACTTTCAGTTTCTGGGAATATTTTTGTCTGAATTATTTTGCACCTAAATTTGATCTTGGACATTTTTTCAACTTAATAGACTCTCCTTCTCTAGGTAACTTCTACCCATCTACAGTACACAGCAAGCTTTCCTGAACAACACTCAAATTAGATCATATGCCCAGGTATATTCCTGGCACTCCACATTACCCAAACAGAATATTTATCACATTTTATTTAGCTTTCTCCCTTAATAAATGGCAAACTTTAAGAGGACAGATATCATGTCTGCTAATTTAATTGTTCTATCCCTGTTCAGTGTCTGCTACAGAGCATTCAATAAATATTTGTTGAATAAATGAGTGACAGGAGGGGCCTGTTGTTCTTCATTCTCCTTGACTTGATCATGGCCACAGTTTACTCAAGTACCTACCCTACCATTCACCTTCTTCTCCCTCAATCTTCTCCTTCACAGCCTACCAAAACACAACAAGCTCCTACACTTCAACTCTGAAAATGGAAGATCTAGAAAAGCATGAAAATTTTCTTCTCATGTTAAATACTTCTAAACCAGGTAAAAACTCCCACCAACAGACCTAGGAAAACCAGACACTACAAACCACTGAGATGGTCTGAAAGGTAGGACAGAGCTAGATGAGAAAAATTAGTAGAACCTTGCTTACCTACCTTCAAAGTAGATAACAATGGAAAGGTCCCTGCATTTACATTTTCATACTTTGTTGAAACTGTCCAGTAGTCACTATGATGCAGTCTTTTTAATAATCAGTACTGTCTCTGTCTTTGATTACAGTCCTTTTCATGACAGAATCCTAAATATTTTGTCTTCAGCATGCATTCTAGTCCCACCTTATTTACTGATTTGTGACTGATTGCTGAGCATTTTCTTCCTCTCTCCTAAGGTTAGGTATATTGCAATAACATGTCCTATATCGCCACATGCTGTTTCCTCCAGCTCTAAGTTAAATATGGGAAAGGTCCTTCCATAACATCTTGATCATGAAATAGTATAATCTATGCCTTATGATTATTTTCCTTTTTATGCTATGTGCCTTTGTGAAGATCTCCTTTCTGCCCCTTTTGAGAAAGAGGAAGTTCATGGTTGGTCCATGGGTCACAGAAGGACTGTTGTAAGACCCACTTCAGAAAGTAACCGTTCACCTGCATTATGTATTTGTTTGTGCCCCTCCATGGTGTGTAGGACAGGTGGATATCTTAGTGCTTGCTCCGTCATCCCCCCAAACAGGACACATTTAAAAATGCATTCACAAATACAAACCCATGTTTACACAAAATAACCCAAGTCTCTCAGGTGGCGTTCTGTGCTGTGTTTAGTCTCTCAATCATGTCCAACTCTTTGCGACCCCATGGACTATTGCCTGTCAGGCTCCTCTGTACCATGGGGATTCTCCATGCAAGACTACTGTAGTGGGTTGCCATGCCCTCCTCCAGGGGATCTTCCTAACCCAGGGATCGAACACAGGTCTTCTGCATTGCAGGCAGATTCTTTACCATCTAAGCCATCAAGGAAGCCCAAAAATACTGGAGAGGGTAGTCTATCCCTTCTTCAGGGGAGCTTCCTGACTCAGAAATTGAACTGGGGTTTCCTGCATTGCAAGCAGATTCTTTATCAGCTGAGCTACCAGGGAAGCCCCTGAGGTGGCATATCAAATTTTAATTTCCAAATGGTGGGCCCCAGTTGGTTATAACCATTCCTAAGTCTATCATGACCATTTATTCTCTTTAAATGTTTTTTTTTGTTTGTTTGTTTGTTTTTTAATATCCTTAGCACTTAACACTTTTGCTTTTCAGAAAAATCTAGAAACATTTTGGGGAAAGCAATGGGAGAGGGACTCAGAATTAAACTTCTAATAGATAATTCTTTTTCATGTCATACTCTTACCATAAATGTCATCTCTATTAATAGAATTTTATTCAAAGTTCTAATCTTGGCCTTTCCTATTTCCTAGAGCCCACTCTAGGAGCCCTCTCTGCTTCCCACCACCTCCATTTCTCACCAGCTTTATTCCCTGCTCAGTAAAACTCAATAAAGTTCACCACTGGCTGATACCTTGGAAGTCCTGGTCCTGGAATTGTTTTGCAAAGTCAGGGTAAGAACTGGAGACCGCAGAAACACAGCAAGCAAAAAATGGATCAGAGGGGAAAAAAAGCAGTCCCAGGGATGGTGATAATAGGCACCACAAGGGAGAAAGACATAGGATCATGCTTACAGTAGAGAAGGACAAACACAAAGTCTGGAAGAGTGGAGTGCAAATGTACTTCCCTTGTCATCTCCAGGGATTAGAGACAAGTTAGAAGAGGACCTCTAAACCAGAGGGAAGTACGGTTCTCAGGTCCCAAGTCCCCAGGCCAATCTAGGGCATGAGCCAATGAAATTATCACTTTCCCAGTTTAGGAACTGACACCTCTGCTTTAATGAGTGGTGGCTTGGTAATTCTGGAATCTAAGATAGTAGCATACTTGCGTTTCAGTGGGGTCTTGACCTAGCTTGATAAGTAATTTGATAAAGAAACTCACCATGCCTCCAGGTCCAGTCTAGAACTCCTAAACTTCTGGTGCAGAGAATGTTTCATTTTATTTTGAATCCCTTGTTTCATAGTGGATAATCAAGAAATGTCTGTTGAATGGAAATGCATCTACTTCTAGTTTTAGACAATAAAATGCTGGAAACAATTCTCACTGTGGCTACCATTTTCCCAGGTGGGAAGATATTTCTAAAAAGAAATACCTTTTTAGACATTTATTTCAGTGTTCAGTCTTGCTTGGCAGTTCTCTCCGTCTTTCATCAGTTGAGAATCATCACTTTGTGTTCAACTCATTATTTAGATTGCAAGCTGCTAATTCTTTGTTAATGTGGTGCAAATCTCTAACACAAAGTGCAGGTCTGAAGATCATAGATAGCCAGTCTAGGTATAGTCTATTGGTATAGACTTCTAATTAGAAGACCTTCAATAGGACCACCCATCAGCTCAATGAGGTAGTCTGCTTTCACTGTCTAGTGGTCAAAATCCGTAATTTATCCCTTGTTCCACACATCTCTTCCTTTGTGCTCTAATACAATACTTAAACTGTTCTGGAAATGTTCAGTTTCCACAACTATGGAAAAGTAATAACTTGGAAAAGATTAAAGAAGAGGTTTGAGGAATAAGTGGAAAAACAGCTAGTACCTTACTGTGGACAAAATGTCTTTTTCTGTGACTACATACATCCAGGTGGACTCCCATCATGCAAAATAGGGATTTCATTCATTAAGCAAAAATCATGCTTCAACTCTTTTCTTACGCAAATACTTATTGCATACCTGTAATAACTAGTAGCTTTGCAAGTGATAGGAATGTGATTAAAAAATGCAGAAACTAACCTGGTCCTCAATGACATAGTTATGTATACTAGCAATCATCTTATTAAACTTGTGATAAGTCCTGAAATAAAAAGGACATTGTGCAATGAGAATGTATACAATAGACACCAATCTGATACACAGAGTTAAAGGAGACATATCTGAGGAAGGATTTTCAACTGAAGCCTGAAAAGGAATTTCCAAGCAAAGAATAAAGAGAAAACACAGGTAGAAGAGACAAGAAGAATCTGATACATCTGAGAAGCTGAAATTCAGCAAGTATGGTGGTATATTGTCATAATTTATTAACAGTAGTATCAATGTGCCCAGTGGGATCATTTATTCCAACTTCTTCAAAATGTAGGGGTAACTTTGTTTTTCTGGAATATTTTTTGTCAACTGAGTGTGTAAGAGAGACAGTTGAGTTTAGGACAAATTGCATTTAAGATAAACAAACGATAACTAAAATGATACACTATGGAATCTAAACTGGATAGAGGAGAAATGAAAAGCAAGAGACAATGGCACGGAGGAAAGGGTTCCTGATGAATTTTGTGTATGCATGAAACCTTTATTGAGAACACATGGTGTGTCAGGTATTTTTATAAAAAGACAGGGTGAAAGAAGAGGCCTAGGTCTAAGTTTCTATCTTCAAGGAATTCATAATATAGGAATAGATTGATAAATAATAAGCAAATAAGTATGATGGTTTATGAGACTGCTATGAATAAAACAGTCCTTGCATGTGTCTCTTCTAAACTCTCTAAAGGTTGTTGCACACAAAAAGAAAAAAAGTCAACACACACATACACAAAGGATCTTATTTTAGAATTCCAGTTTTACTCTTTACTTCTTATTTACTCCTAAGGAATTTAATTTGTTCATATTGATTAAAGCATGGCTTCTTTTTAAGTTGAGATTTCAGAACAGTCGGTTTTATCCTGGGACAGTTTCTTAAGAGAATGGATGACTCCTACCCAACATGCATTCTACCCACAATGAGTTTTTTTTTTTTTTTTTTTTGCAAAATAACAGAATATTGAGTATGACAATCCAAAAGAAAAAACCCAACGTTTTTGAAATTACTTGTCAAAGAGTTGGGGAAGTGCAAATGACATGAAAATAAACATAAAGTGTGAATGAAGTACAAGGTTCTGATTTTCATGGAAGATTGCTGTTTCTGTTAGTCTTCCATTCCCTGAAGTGATCATAAGGACAATACTTATTCATGATCTAAAGGATGGAACTATTGAAGAGTTTCAATGCACATAGTGAAACAATCATATTTAACTTGTAAAATGAACACTTTGGCTTTTATAGAGAAAGTGGGTTGGATGGAATAGGGTTGGAACTCACTTAAAAGGATGATTTTGAAAGGCTCTCAAGAGAGACAAATAATAGATAAGGGTCCAAAGTAGCTGGCCATGATAAAGGTGAGAATGTGATGTATATACACACTATAATGGCTTTTAAG